TCTATGGCTCCGGCCCAGTGTACTTGTCCGAACGTATCTCCTTCTATGTCCCACCACGGAGTTTAAGATCTTCTGGGGAGGCCCTGCTCTCGGCCCCACCTTTATCACAAGTGAGGCTGGTGGGGACGAGAGACAGGGCCTTCTCAGTGGTGGCCCCTCGCCTGTGGAATTCACTCCCCGGGGAAATTAGGTTGTCAACATCCCTCCTCTCCTTCAGGAGAAAGCTGAAGACATGGATATGGGACCAGGCATTTGGGTAGTCTGGCAGGGTAACAAGGTAATGATGACTAGAGATGACTAGAGTTGGAAAGGACTATGGCAATGCTAAACGGATTGATGGATTTTAGAACACGATGAACGCAGGCTTTAGAGCGGTTTTAGTTTATATTGTATTGTGTTATATTGTACTGTATTAATTGTCTGTTTTTAATCTACTGTGTTATTGTTATTGCATTTTATTGTAATTGTGGGCATCGAATTGTGCCAGATGTAAGCCGCCTTGAGTCCCCCCTAGGGGGTGAGAAAGGCGGGGTACAAATTACCGAAATAAATAAATAAATAAACCTGAACTTAGACATTTGAGACCTACATGGTTCCTGAATATCAAGATGGAAAAAAGCTTAAAAATTGCCATTCACAGAGTATAGGAAAGACAGAAAAGAGATTATGAATTAATAGTTGATCATGTTGGCCAGGACTGTGTTTTACCCTGCTTGTCACTGGTAATGGACTGGATGCGGGTAAACAAATTGAAACTTAATTCATACAGGACAGAGATGCTCTTGGTCAGTCAAAGATCAGGGAATAAGATTTCAGTTAAGCTTTCAATGAGGATAAAAATGCAGTTGGGATGCACTCTACATTTCTATGGTGTCCATCATTGTTTTTGCAGATTTAAAGGTTGTATGCCAACTGTGCCTACTCCTTGAGATGTGAGATCTGACCATGGAAGTACACAAGGATGCTTCTGAGTAGTATTCAGAAAGTTCACTTAGTTCAAAGAATGGCAGCCAGATTGCTAAATGGGGAAGGTTACAGGCCCATACTACTACCCTATTAAAAAACCCCCACTGGCTCCCAGTTTGTTTCCAGGAAAAATTCAAAATACAAGTTATGACCTATAAAGTTTTACATGGCTCTGGATTGTGGAGGCCTTTTCAAAGACAGAAGGTGACTTTCAGTGTTTAGGGGAAAAACTTCCATAGATCAGAATCAGGCCCATAAGGTAAAATCAAATCAGACCACCAAGAGGCTTCAAAAGCTAGTAGTGCCCATTTCTGAGGCCACTGTTTTGTTTTTAAAAAGTGTGAATGTAGCTGTGCTCCCATCTCCCTTGAGGACTGCCCACCCCTGCACTAACATATTCACATGATTTGGGTGGGGAGACAGGGAAATAATTGCATGATTATACAGAGGTGTCATGAGCTGCAAAACAATATTTTAATTTCCTTCTATTCACATTAGTTCACTGGGAAAAAGGCAAGGTCTTTATAACTCAGAATTCTCATCACAGCAGAATCAACTAATGATAGATCAGAAAGAGAAACACACACATATCTATATTCCCCAGTATCCTACAGCTGGAATGACTGAAGTAGCTTCCTTAGAGACTGTGCATGACTTAGGAGAAAGGAGCAAAAAGTTTTTTTTAAAAGTAAGCACATCAACAGATTTGTGCCAGATGTTATGTGTTGTCAACAAAAGTATAAGTTACTGCTATTGGCCAACAGGGAAAACAATCTATAATAAATCATAGAAGGTTATGTTGAATCCTATAAATGGTTAGAAGATTGTTTTCCAAATATTTTTTATTAAATATTTACTAGGAAAGTAGGGGATGGGGGGGGGGGCAAGAGAAGGAAAATAAGAATTTTGGGGATAATAGATTAATTATTGGTTTAATAAACTTGGGGGGGGGGTTTATAAACATCTTTATAAACATCTGGTATGTCACAAGGAGAAAACTACGAGGGTGAAGATTGTTGAGGAATGAGGAATTCTTTTACAATGTTATAATTGTTACAATAATGTAGACATTATTAATTATTGGACATTATTAAGTTCATTACTAAATTGGATGATGGATCATATATTAAAAACTAGATTTCAAACTACACAGCCATAAAACCAGCATGCCAGGAAGCTATCTCTATCTATCTATCTATCTATCTATCTATCTATCTATCTATCTATCTATCTATCTATCTATCTCCATGAACTTTTGGCTTATGCTGTAAGTGATGAAAAACTAAGAAAATGATTCACAAAGCAGATACCAATAAAATTAAGCTCCAGTAAGACAAACTTCCAAAGGGAAAATGGTAACACTTGTGTTAAGTTTGTTTTCGTTTGATCTTAGTACTATTCCACACAGCACGTCACTGATTAATGAAGGCAACATTACACACTGTTGACCTCTATTTAAATGTTTCAGGTTTCAAAGACCCCTGGGGGAAGCATGAAATATTGTTACACAGTTGATGCAACCTAAGGAGCCTATCAATCCTGAGGTTAAATAAATACTGTAGTAGGTAATGTCCAAATTTATCCCACATGAAATACACTTGTGAGAGTTAGCTAAAATGTAACAACCCCCCCCCCAAGTTTATTAAACAAACAGGCACAAGAATCTGTACTATTGCTACCACAAAAGTGCTATACGATACTAAAATTTTAAATAAAATATTAGCAGATTTTCAGATAATGATTCTGTTTCAGATTTTCACTCAGTATGTAATGTACAGCAAGTCTCATAATGCCTCTACAATTTGGCTGTACTTAATGTTTCTGTAAAACTGAAATGTATTTTTGAGTCTATGGAGAAGATTGAGTCTTCACTTCGTAGAGGGACAAATTGTAACATATTGAGGGTATGGCTGAAAAATTAGCATTCCTTTTTAATGGAAAATGGGACTAGAGAATAAACTCCATATGAGGAAAAAAAATTGTACAATCTTCTACACCTAAGGACATAGTTCAGCCATAGCACCAAACATACAAAGGAATGCTACTGAGCCATAGCAACGTTTTGGAAGAACTGTTACATGGTAGGCCCTTCTCACTTTCATAAAGGAGCCCACGTGTATTTCACAGAAATTACAAAATTATGCCATAAGTGGAAAAAATTTCACTATGATGGCATGTAACAATTATAGTACAGTATGATACAGTCTACTGTGTAGAAGATGTTTTTAAATGTATCTGCTACTTTAACAGACATTCTGGATCAATAATAACAGCCATAATAAAATACAGAAACATAAAACACTATTTTAAAATAAAAGCAATAGTACTCTAAATGCCAAAAGTCAAAAACACAGACAAAAAGTAGGATATGACCTTTCTAAAAAATCCCCTTCTGGACAGTTCCATAAATAATCCCTGGAACAGAAACACTTGCAAGATGTTAAAGTGATTTTAAAATCAAAGTGAGTTTTGGGGAAGTTATTTCCACTTTTAAAACAGCATAACTGAAAATGAAAGTAGTACATAATATGCTTTAACAAAAGCAGAGAACCACAACTTGAATATTTATTTTTATGCTTGTGACATATGAATACCTTATGCCTATTTTTAAATAACAGTGACTAGACAAGGCATGGGCAAACTTTGGCCCTCTAGGTGTTTTGGACTTCAACTCCCACAATTCCTAACAGCCTACTGGCTGTTAGGAAGGGCCCACCGTGTAACAGTGAATCCATTCATTACTGAAGCATGATTCTGTTTCTAGTAGTCAAAACTTTCTCAGTAGGAGTCTTGAAAGTACACACACCGGGCAGGTCTATCAGCTAGAACAGGCATGGGCAAACTTCAGCCCTCCAGGTGTTTTGGACTTCAACTGGTAGGAATTATGGGAGTTGAAGTCCAAAACACCTGGTTGGATGAATTTTGCCCATGCCTGAGCTAGAGGAATCCTGAACACTTAAGTACAATGGGGACAGTCCCTGCAAGGAGCAGCAAACAGTACTAAGAACAAATCAAATCACTTACTGAATAAGTGGGAAACTAGCTACCCTGTGTTCATCTTGTGGGTGTTTTGGGCTCTATATTTGGTTTGTTTTTGCAGTGCAAACTCTATCAGGTATGTGAGTATAAGAGAGACAGGGAGCATAAGGTGGAAAACAGACTCTCAATAGCCATAATGGAAATAAATTCCCTTCCCCCCCCCCCCAAATGGAATGGAATGGAGTAGGAAAAAGGAGCTCTTCATTGCCAATTACAGTCAATTTGTCTCCCCGCCCTGCCCCTTTAGGACCAAATATAATTGCTTGGTTTTTAAGCTAGGTGTTATGTGCCTGAGAACAGATACAGCAGCAGCAGCTGAGATGTATTTTGTTTTGGCAGTTTGAGCTTGCTGGGCATGCTTAATCCACTGCAAGTAAACCTAGATATAATGTATTGTGTACTACTCTGCTTGCCAATTTTATGTACACTAGTTTTGATAGGGATGCTTCAATAAGTAAATGTATTTATGATGCTATAGTCTAGTTTCTTGGTAAAGCAGGAGAGCACGAACTGAAGAGACATGCTTTTCAGTGTTGTTGTGTAGGTTCACAATCTTGCTTTGCAGATTATGGGCTAACTTGCTAACTTGCACACCTTGGTTTCTTTTCTTTAAATGGTTCCTGTTGATGCAACAGACAAACATGGGTGTAAATAATGTTTTTATTGTCATACTGGAATCAGGGTAACATTCTTTATGTGTGTGATAATTATTTTGCTATGTGATGTAGTTGTTTTCAAGGCAGCTTCACTTTTTTCATCCACAGTAGACAGTGTAGTTTCTGTTCAATGTTTCAGTGAGCTCTCCTCCAGTGATTCCATTCCTCTATTACATCAGTATCAATAGGCAGTAAAAATACTACAAATATTCAGCTTTTTCACCATTTTAGTAGAGAAACATATTTTTGCTCATTATTTCCAGTATGTTAGCTGATTTGTAAAAAAAGTGGTCCAACATTTTTTTTAAAAAAAATACATATAATGCATGGATCTATTACCTGTATAACTGCACTAAACCAGCATGTGTTGCCAACATTTTTTAATCCCACTGGGCAATTATCTTGACGTTTTCTATCATACGGATTTGGAGAATCACTCCATACTTCTGGATGTGTCCTTTTCAGGCTTGCCTTGTTTTCTGCTATGCTGGCTTCTAAAACTCTTAGAAAGCAAACAAAATAATGAGGCAAGTGAACAGTAACGGCATTAAAACTTATGCTAGAATAGGAAACACAATTCCATAAAGCAAGTCATGGGAAGACAGATTTTCTATACAACAATAAAAAAATACTGAATTCAGCCAACATCATACTAAGAGAAAGCACAAGCAATCTCTATGATTTAGCACCAATATATATATCCAGGTATCTACATACAAAATTTAAGACTTGTTTTTTGGAAGAAAAAAAAGAATCAAAGAAATAATAAACTGTGGAGGGTATAGGAAATATTCCTACTTTGAACAAATCATGTCACTGTCAAAAATTCATCCAATATTTTTGAGTGAATTTTAAAGAATTTATTTGCAATAGCACAAATAACTATATTAGTATCTGCCAGCAACTTCGAAACAGGTATGCAGACAATGCAAAAGCAGCAAGTTCACACATGAAGTGCTGATTAAATAAACAATGTGTACTAAGTCCATGGCATGTCTTATTTTTTTAATCAGGGATGGTATGTGAGATGTAATCTCTTAACCGAACATAAAAGCAATTTACAGGTTTTTAGAATTCTTTTCCAAAGGTCTTTATTCAGAGAACTTTGACATATAAATGGCTTTGGGCCAAAATACCTAAAAACCCTAATTCTCCCATATGGATCTTTCTGAATTCCAAATTCTCAATAGGGGCCCTATTGTATATCCATCCACCCTGAGATAGTGAATACATGTAACAAGGCTTGCTCTGTAGCAACCCCAGTGACTGAAAAGTTCCCTCCCAAGAGAGAGCAGGTGGGTTCCATGTCTATTAGATATTGGATAGTCAACTAGGAACAGGCTTTAATTCTTAGATTTAGGTGTGGCTACTACAGCTGCTTTTAAGTGTCTTGGGCTTTAAACATTTTCACAGAAGAATTATAAGTCTGTTTATAAGTAATTTAATTTATGGATTTAATATTTTAAATATTTCTTTCTAATTGTATATTGTCTCAAGGGTCATAATGGCTCCAGCTGATGTAGACAAAATGACTTAAATCAAATGAATAAATAATTCAGAAACAAAAAAGACAACACTATCATTGCAGAAGCAAAGCAACTTGACTTGCACACATCAGTGAAAGCACTAAATGGCATTCTAATGGATCTTAAGCCAATAATGTGAATGCTGCAGAAACTGTGTTCTTTATGAAGAGCATTAAAACATTATTACAAAATTTGAATATATGACTGCATGATTAAAAAAGGAAATAAAAGACATTTCTACACTGAGCCATCTCTAAAAGATGGATACAAGGCTCTTTCTGATAAAGGAAATATCAGAAAAAAGTATTTTCCCTCGAGAATTTATTTTTGTTCTAGGCAAGGAAAAAGTTATTTCACACTCATTGAGAAAGGGAAATATATTTGTATAAACATGAGAAACGGGCCATGTGTCAGCTGCTATGCTACCCACTGCTGGAATATTGGTCTGAACTAAACTAAAACATTTCCTAAACCCAATCTAAAGTGATCTATGCTATGTGAGCTGTGGGAGAAGCCGGGAACAACAAAAGCTGGAAAAACAGTAACAATAGAGATGCATACAATGGAGGATGAAGAGAACAAAATAAACATGTAAAGTAAGGAACGAAGCCAAAGGGCATTTGCCATCTAAATATGCATTAACAGCATCTCAAGCCTACGTACATGATAATAATGTAGGAAGGTGTGATCATTTCACAAGAAGCCTACGTCTCTTGGACAGCCAATCATTTGATGTATAGAGCCACACTAATTTTATCCGGAAATATTCTGGAATCTCAATTATACAAATTTAACCATGAATTCTTTCCTGAACTACAGCAATGAACAATCATATACAGAAGCAACGTTTAAGTCTACTGAAGCAAGTGGTGAATGCTAAGTAAATCCATTCATTTAATGGGTCTACTTTAGTTAGCTACAGTAATTGAATTTAGATTTTAATTTTAATTAATTAGCTTTCATGTCCGAATGTATCTCCCTCTATGATCCAGTCCCCTTTGGGGAGATGGTGGCAGGGTATAAATAAAGTTTATTATAATTTATTATTATTATTGTCCACCTCTGAGGCTAAGATCTTCGGGGGAGGCCCTGCTCTCGGTCCCATCCCCTCACAAGCGCAATTGGTAGGGATGAGAGACAGGGCCTTCTCAGTGGTGGTTCGCTGTCTATGGAACTCCCTCCTCAGTGAAATTAGATCACCCCCCTTCCTCCACCTTCAGGAAAAAAAACATGGCTTTGGAATCAGGCCTTTGGTCAGTAATGGGAGCAGTGCAATAAGAGACTATAAATTAACACTGATGACTTGGACTGGCTTTGGATTATGACCTGGATTATGTGATTTAAAATTGTTGTTTTAATGTAATGTTTTAACTGGTTGGTTTTAATGTTTTTATTTATCAATATGTGTGCACGCAGCATCAAACTGTTGCCTTGTAAGGCTGCCCTGAGTCCCCTAAGGGGTTGAGAAGAGCGGGATGTAAGTGTGGTAAATAAATAAATAAATAAGAAGTATGATTTCAGTAAATGGAACACATAAAAACAAAATTTCAAGACACCATAAGAACCGCTTTGAGTCCCCTTTGGGGAGATAAAGTGGGGTACAAATAAGAAGAAGAAGAAGAGGAGGAGGAGGAGGTGGTGGTGGTGGTGGAGGAGGAGGAGGTGGTGGTGGTGGTGGTGGAGGAGGCGGCAGCACCAGCAGCAGCAGAAGAAATAACAATAGTCTTATTTGTTTACCTGCTAATGGCTTGTTCTTCATCTGTTATCCCCGTCTCCCTGAAGGCCCTGTTTGATTCTTCCAAACTGAGGGCAATTGCCCTCTGAAGATCATCTTTATCATCCCCTGTGAGATCAATCACATCTGAAAAGTAAAACTGTATCTCTTAAAATTAAATATGAACAAAAAAGTAAGATTCCTTTTAGAAGACGAGCTAGTTTACATCATTATCTCTCAGCTTCTTCATTCACTCAACACATCACATGCTCCAGTGCTGTCCTACTATTCTTTCTCATACCTTGATACATTAACTAGGTTTGCTCATGTATGGCATCATAAACCATAGTTTTATATATATGCAATATCATATCTTGCTCCTCCCTTGTCATGTGTTAATTTGGAAAGATAGACTACTGCCAATAATATCAGACCCAACCAAACCAGGGAACTCCCACTTGATGTCAATTAAAAACAAACAATGATGATGACGGCGATGATGATAGCAAACTTTGGCTGTCTCTACCAAGACAAAAAATGTTTGAATATGAGCCTAGCAGTAGACTGTATGTTTCTTACCTAATGTCTAGCCTAGCTATGACCAGAAAAGCTCATCACAAGGTTGGTCACAAGGTAACAAACCGGTAAAGGTAACTGAAAACAACTATGGTGAAGAATGTACATTAGCAGAGGGGCTATGCATCCTAAAAGAAAAAAAAAAAGATCTCCAAAATATTTCCAAAGCAATACTTTAAATTTAAACTAGATCTATTCTCCCCCTACTCCCCGGCATCTTTTTAATGCATCTGTTTCAAATAGTTTTAATTCTATAAACTGTCTTCAAATATAGTTTTGGGGGAAGATGTGGTATAATGTATATATATATATACAATGTATATTGTATTTGTTGATTGTATGTTTTGAATTGATGATTGTTTTTAATTGTTGTAAACCGCAATGAGTCGCCGATTTAGGCTGAGATATTAGCGGTATACAAGTGAATAAATAAATAAATAAATAAATAATGTGGTTGCGGGGCGGGGGGAGCTTACGTATATGTATGTTTGGAGCATCATTCAATAGTGGATTCTACAATCCAACAGAAAGACTAATACAGAAAAGCTGAGCATGCATTATGGTTTGAACAACATCAGACTCTTACGACTGCCCAAATCAGAGCCTTTAAACAATCAGTGCCTGTATGGAAAGAAAGCTTTTCACATTATTAGAGCATTTCATTCATTTGTTTCCAGAAAACAGTATCTCTTTAAGCAGCTGTCAACACACAGATCAGTGCCTGTCTATCCCAGGTGCGTTCCAAAGAATTATTCTCTTTTTTCCTTTACTTCAGCAAGAATTCTATCACTATAGACAATGTTTTCCATTGTTAGACCTACAGAACCTGCCAAAATGTGACAAGGTCAAATTTTACTGGCTTTCAGAATGGATAAATACATTCTCCTTTTCCTTGTTCCTGAACAACATGTTTTCTTCCAAAATGTTGCTTCACCAATATTCTGTGTGTGTGTAGCAAAGCCCATACAGTCGGGCCTTCACATTCATAGGTTTCACACTCACAATTTTGATTATTTGTGAGATCGTCCCCTACACCCATGTCCCAATGTTTTGGCTGCCATATGAATATATAAAGCATCTATACAGCAGCCCAGCCATATATACATTTATACAGCAGACTTGTCCTCAGGAAGTGAGGGGAGGCAAAAGATCACTGTCCATGCCATGTCCAGTTCCAGAAGGTGCACTTGCTCTGGAAACATTCACACAGCAGTCCCATCCTCAGGAAGGAAGCATGGCCTTTTTTTGGAAGGCAGTTGCAGTGCTGGCAGTGAGGTCTCACCTCTCACAAACCACTTTGGACTGGGCTGCCATGTGAACTTTCACAGGCCAGCCCCATCTTCAGGAGCTAAGTGTGACACGTGTGTCTGTTTTGCCTGGTACCTCCCTTCCTTTGTCTAGGTTTAGCAGGTATAAGTGACACAGAGGAGGAGGAGGAGGAGGAGGAGCCCCCATATGTCATTTCACCTGCTCCAGGAACCCCAGTTCCTTTTCATCTTCTTTTACACCACCTGTGTCAGTTTTGACTACGCAAAGGAAAGGAAGTCCCAGTTGAAGCAGACACACATAGAATGCTAGGAAGCTGAGCAGCTAGACTCTGCAGGGTAAATGAAGTAGTGGCAACACATGGGACCTGCTCCTTTTCCTCTTCCAGTGTGCTGCTAGTCTTTGTGCAACAATCATAAAGATTTATTCACAACTACAGCATACCTCATCCCAGCACAAATGACAGCACTGGAAACAAGCGATAAGAACGTAACACAAGAAATGCACCTAAACAAAAAAGATTCAATAATCCTGCATAGTTGCTTAATGCTTTAAAATAATTATCTATTTGGAAGCAGTTAATAATGATTGCAGGTGGGGCTATAAAGATGGTAGATAATCTATTCTCTGGGATAACGAAATCCTAACACCTAGAATTTAGTATTAATCTCAAGGGCCGAATGCAAGTAATTATCTTCATTACTTAAAGTGTATTCTTATGGCTCCTCTTAATTATAGAACACCATTAAACAATAGGGAATTATGGGCTTTATAGTGGAACAAACTTCTGAGTCATGGAGCTATGGGTTTTAAATTAGTATTCTTGCAACTTCTGATAGGCCAAGAAGAGCATCTGCTCACAATAGAGATAATATGGGGAAAGTAGTATATATGAAGAAATGTATAGCGCACCACTAACATCCTGAAGTAGGTTCAGAAACTAAGAAATGACTGGTATGTTTTCTGAGGCACTGATACAAATACTTTCAAACTGAAAGAATATTTAAGATTTTAAAAAGTCTAATAAAATATATTATCAATCACAATACTGAATCTATAAGTATTACAAAAGACATAATGTAATATATTACATTGGAGTGGAAGCAAATTTATTTCACATTGTTTTACAAGGGTTGATCTTTCAGTTATAAAGAAAAAGGACACTTACTTGTATCTGCCTGGCTTCCTACACTGATGTATCTGTCATTGCCAGGAAGTGCTGTCTGATAGTACGTTGTCTCTTCTTGTTGAGGTATCTTAGCATTCTTTGCAGTGAGGAAAGCTACAGCTAATTCCAAACTCCCATTGCTATCCTTTAAATGCACAAGAAGAAATGTATCAGTATACAATTACATAATGAACTAGCTTGCATATGATCTGCCTCCAACATCAAGACTAGGGAAGCTTCATTCTTCCACTTTGCATTCACAGACTTAAAATATAATTTTACAAGTAAGGATTGATTTATTTTAATTAGTTGTGTTTACATGCTGACATGCAAAACAGGTGAAGAGCACAAATGATATACTAGAAGTGTGTTACTATAAAGAGAAAAAATGTATCAATAGTTCCGTTTCACTAAATGGGTGTAGAAAACTGAGAGAATATAACCACCAGACAGAGAATGTGAAACCCTTAGATTAGATAATATAGATCATTGGTAGTTCACTGTTACTGTTTTTTTAATGTTTAGAATGTAGTCATATTATTCTAGAAAAAGTATTTGTGATCTTTTGCTGTTGTTTATGTTGTTTGTTTTTCTGTATGTTTATATGTAGATTTTATTTTAATCTGTCTAAATAAAAAAGTAATTACTGCCAAAAAAAAAAGTACGAATGATATGATAAGCCTTGAGAAAACTGATTTTGTAATAAAAATCATGCTTGAGATCAATGTTTCTGTCTGCTATAAAAGTGGAAACAACAGCTACAGGAAGTTCATGTCATAAATAGGGTCGCAAAGGTGAGAAGGAAGACTAGGTGGTGGTAAGATGCAGAAGCTTAAGGGATGGGTAGCAAGAGAAAGGGGCCACCCATAAACTAATCTCGTCAACAAAGACTCTTTTCTTGTTTGTGTGTCTCCTTGGCTAGCAGGCCACATGAAGAGAAAAATCAAAGTCTCAGTTATTTGGAAATGATTGTAATCTCAGATAAGTACCCAATAAATAGCAATACAACTAATACTGGACAGAAGAAATAGGGATGGCACTACAAAATCTCTTGCCTATGTAACAAAAATCCAAGGCAATGTGTACATATTATCTAATTTCCAGTTGAGACTAAAATTGAGAACATTACCAAGAACTGTGCCATATTTAAAGTTTTCAACATTCTACACTCTATAACAGGTTGCCTTATGTGTTACATTTTGTCTGAGCATTTGCTGTACTACTTGAAGTATGTATGAGTTTCACCTAGGTTCCCTACGTGCAGGTAGTACTTCTTGATGTAAGCAATTTAGGTGTATAAATACATCATTGTAGGTACATTATTGATACTAACTATCAAGAGGTTCTTAAATGTTAACCTGTTTCTAAGGTATATAAAATATATGAACTTAAATCAGTTATGCTTAGTTTTGTCCATCCAAAGAAATCAGACAAAAATGAAGACATACATGAACCAGTATTGAAAACCATCATACCTTCAAGGCTTGCTGTAGTACTTGGGTGTCATTGATGCCAGTGATCTCTCTCAGCTGATTCAGAAGTGTTTGCTGGTGCTGAAGAATTAAAGAGTTAGTCAGCATTGACGCCAGATCAGGCAAATCATGAAGCAGAAAAAGAATTTATTCATTTCAAATTCCTAAAATATGTTAAGTGAAATAGTTGCAGGGGGATAAGTGAAAGTCAAAAAGTAGATTCTCTTAAGCAAGAAATAGTTGGCCAGGAATTGTTTACTATAATGGGAAAGGGTTAGGTAAGTCTACTCTTGTGTTCTGGATCTCACCATGTGATTGGATCTCACCAATACTGTGATTGAAATTATGGCTATAGCCCTGGGATTGGCAAACTTTAGCCCTCCAGCTGTTTTATACTTCAATTCCCAAAATTCCTAACAGCCTACCAACTGTTAGGAATAATGGAAGCTGGAGTCCAAAACACCTGAAGGGCCAAAATTTGCCCATGCCTACCATAGCCCATATTACACTATGTAACAACATTCGAAAAATTTTCTGTTCCTGGTTTGAAAGTGTTATTTTCTGTTTAATTGTGCGGTTCTTACTTTGAAAGTAGTTATTATACTCCAGAAACTTCATTTTTGTGGCTGCCATGAACTACATCAAATTGGTTGAGACTCTATGAGATATTCATTGAAAAACTATTGCGAAATGTGTTGCAGGATGTCCTGCAAAAACATTTTTGCAGATTAATAAACTTTTCCCCATTTTTTATAATAAAACCGATTAGGAAATGACATTTATAACCCCATAACAAAAACCATATTACATAGTGTTACTGATCATTTCTACCACTGAAGTTCAATATTTTGAACACTATGACACAGAAACTTGTTTTCTATGCATTGCTGAGCACAAACCTCAACTTCCTAAAATCAATCTAAAAATGAACCTATATTGTCCAGTAGCTAGAGAATATAACATAGCATTGAAAGCAATTATTTGTTTGGGTGATTCATAAACTGACTCTCAAAACTAATTTTTAAAACCAAGTACAAAAAAATTAAAAAAAACTGAAGTCCATGTAGAGATGGCCAATGTATTTCAGTTGACTGATGTGGCAGTAAGATGCAGTACTTTTCAGCAAAAAGATATACAGCTGAACAACTAAAGCTACCATGGCTGGAAGGCAGGTCAGAAGGAGAGATGAAACAACAATGTCTACCTTACTTCCAGCTTTTGCTAGTGCCACCTACAATAACCATTCAATGCAGTTCAAAGCTCTCATTGAACAGCATTAAACTGCACCAGCAAAATAACAAATGTCCACAAAAGCATGCAAAAGAAATCCCTTAATGCACATAATTACTCTGTAGCTGTGGAATAACCATACAGACCTCAAACTGGTTCCACGATTTCCTATGTGATCATCTGCACAGCAAAACCACTTTCTTCACTACCAGTTTAATACCATATTTCACAACATAGGCTTATTCATTCTGGTTCACATTCAGCCATGTAACAGCAAATAAAGTGGTTATGTAATAGTGTGTATTACAGCAACAAGTAAAAGAAAATTGCAAATAGATGGTTATAAAGTATCTACATAATGTTCCCTCCTCAAGTATTGAACAGTGTAAGACTTCTGAAATGCATGTTCCCAAAACTGCATAATGTTACTTCAAGTTGTTTCCATTTTTTGGCAACCCTTTGTCGAATCTATCATGGTATTTTCTTGGCAAATTTTGTCAGTTTGTCATTGCCTTCCTTTGAGGTTGAGAAAGTGTGACTCATCCAAGGGTTTCTGTGGTTGGATGTGGATTCAAACTCTGATGTTCTGGAATCCTAGCCCAGCACTCAAGTCCTGGTATCATATGAGCTTATTGCATAGTATTAGAAATGCATGAATATATAGCATAAAATAGAAAAGGAAATGGCTGGTATAGATGAGTACTTAAAATAGATTTTAGTCATCCTATTGTTATAAGTGCCTACCGCTTTACAGAGTATAATAAAATGTCTAATTCTTAGCAAGACACTTTCATGTACTGGCTAACTTCAATTTTTGATCTAAAACCTTGATGTTAACTATCAAATTTACTGTTATTCTACATGAAAAATGTCATTTTTTTCATGAAAAGCAAATATATTTAAGGAATTTTATGGAATATTCAACTAATATTACTCAAAAGAACACACAACTACTACTGTATGAAGAAGATATAAGCAATTTCGAAGTGACAATGAATTGACCTGGACCCGGATTTTAATTGGGTGTTTTGTTGTTGTTGTTCATTCGTTCAGTCGTTTCTGACTCTTTGTGACTTCATGGACCAGTCCACGCCAGAGCTCCCTGTCGGTCGTCTCCACCACCAGCTCCTTCAAAGGTCAATCCAGTCACTTCAAGGATACCATCCATCCATCTTGCCCTTGGTTGGCCCCTCTTCCTTTTTCCTTCCATTTTCCCCAGCATCATACTCTTCCCTAAGATTTCCTTTCTTCTCATGATGTGGCCAAACTACTTCAACTTGGTCTCTACTATCCTTCCCTTCAATGAGCAGTCAGGTTTTATTTTCTGAAGTATGGACTGGTTGGATCTTCTTGCAGCCCAAGGCACTCTCAGAACTTTCCTCCAGCACCACAGTTCAAAAGCATCTATCTTCCTTTGCTCAGCCTTCCCTATGGTCCAGCTCTCACATCCGTAGGTGACTATGAAGAATACCATTGCTTTAACAATGTGGATCTTTGTTGCCAGTGTGATGTCTCTACTCTTCACTATTTTATCAAGATTGGTCATTGCTGTCCTCCCAAGAAGTAAGTGTCTCCTGATTTCCTGGCTGCAGTCTGCGTCTGCAGTAATCTTTGCACCTAGAAATACAAAGTCTGTCACGGCCTCCAGGTTTTCTCCCTCTATTTCCCAGTTGTCAATCATTCTTGTTGCCATAATCTTGCTTTTTTTTATGTTTAACTGCAACCCAGCTTATGTGCTTTCCTTTCACCTTGATTAGAAGGCTTCTCAGCTCCTCCTTGCTTTCGGCCATCAAAGTGGTGTCATCTGCATATCTAAGGTTGCTAATGTTTCTTCCAGCAATTGTCACTCCAGCCTTGCATTCCTCAAGCCCCGCACACCGCATGATGTGCTCTGCATACAAGCTGAATAGGTTGGGTGAGAGTATACAACCCTGAAGTACGCCTTTCCCAATCTTTAACTAGTCTGTTGTTCCATGGTCAGTTCTTACTGTTGCTACTTGGTCCTTATACAGATTCCTCAGGAGAGAGATAAGGTGATTTGGTATGCCCATACCACCAAGAACTTGCCACAATTTATTATGATCCACACAGTCAAAGTCTTTAGAATAGTCAATAAAACAGAAATCGATGTTTTTCTGAAACTCCCTGCCTTTCTCCATTATCCAGCAGATATCGGCAATTTGGTCTCTCGTTCCTCTGCCTTTTCTAAACCCAGCTTGTACATCTGGCAACTCTCTCTCCATGTATTGCTGAAGTCTTCCTTGCAGGTTCTTGAGCATTACCTTACTGGCATGAGAAATAAGGCAGTGATCCTTTTTTAGAGTGGAGTGTTTTAACAACTGTTTATTTAATGTTTTGTTTTAATGAATTTGTTGATAGTTTTTATCATTATGATGGCACCAAATGGTGTTTGCTGTGAGGCCGCCCTGACTCCCCCCTTGGGGGTGAGAAGGATGGGGTACAAGTATATGAAATAAATAAATAAATGCTGCTTAAACCAGTGGTTCTCAACTTGTGGGTCCCCAGATATTTTGGCCTTCAACTCCCAGAAATCCTAACAGCTGGTAAACTGGCCGAGATGTCTGGGGTTGTAGGCCAAAACACCTGGGGACCCACAGGTTGGGAACCACTGGCTTAAACAATCAAAATAAAAAAATTAAAATGCCACCTTCAAGTTCATTCATGTAATAGTATGGCTTATCTTCCAACGGCATATCAACACTGACAATATAATGCGGTTTGAAGCTGCAGCTACAAAATACACACCACTCAAATGTGCTGCAGCACAGATTAAGGCTAGTAAAGTACATTAAGCCAAGTGGCAGGAAATTCTGAACCAAACCCCTTAATGAACATCAGAGAGCCCCATATCTAAACCACATTAAATCGTGAAACCTGCTCCGGTAAATACAAAGTGCCTTATAGTCATCCTTATAGTGTTATAGAAAGTGGAATGTGGGGATAGGGATACCAAAAAAACCTTCTTGGCCAAAAGAGCAGCCTCAAAAACCTGGGTCAATGTCATGCATACTCTATCTCAGTGGTTCTCAACCTGGGGTCCCCAGATGTTTTTGGCCTCCAACTTCCAGAAATCCTAACAGCTGGTAAACTGGCTAGGATTTCTGGGAGTTGTAGGCCAAAAACATCTGGGGACCCCAGGTTGAGAACCACTGCTCTATCTTAACTCTTGCCAAAAAGGGAACCATCTCTGCCTATGGGGCAAAAAGCAAGAGTACATCCCTGCAGAACCTTTAAAAAGCTCTAATTCCCCTCTACTCTCTCTGTCATGACACTGCTTCTGGCCTTTTTGAATGCCTGGACAGGAAAATAGTGGACACTACCCTGAAAGGCACTCTAGATGTTTCACCATTCTACTCAGAGAAGAGGGTAATTACTTTTTCAAAAAAATAAATAATTTAAAGTAATTTGTGACTTTTATCCCAAATAAAAAGGAACCACCCCCATCTGTTTATAGTAGCAAAAGGCGTTTTTGAATGCTTGAGTGTGAAAATGGTGGCCACTACAGATAGGGTTAGCTGATCCCCTGAGGCTGTTCTGGCCCTTTTCCCTCTCTGTGGAATCATGTGTCATATCAAAATCCATAATTTTGGCACCAAACTGGCCCATATATACAATATATTTCTAATTTAAACCCCCCTCCCAAAGTTATACATTTTACAAGATTTTAGTAAGAACAGCTGAAACTTTTTCAGTGACCTTAAATTTGGAAATTAATATCAGTTTTCCAGGAGGAGCCATCCATTTGGGGTACTTGGGGATGACCGAACAAGAAATAAAACCATATGCAAAGGTAACCTTCTGATTTATTATTTGTGTGCTTTTCTTTCAGA